AATCGCACATCGATTCAAGCCTAATGAACTTCCAACTTCGAAAACTAATGCCGAATCAAATCAAACCAATCCACGAATGTGCTCAAATTCTGCACACAAATCATAAATGACACAACAGACCTACTCCAACTCCCGGAGCCAAAATCCAAACCCGATATCAACAAAGTCAACTCTCGGTCAAATCTCTCAACCTTCCAAACCTTCAACTTTTCAACTTTCACAAAAAAGCCTCAAACCAACCTATGGACCTCCAAATCAATATCCGGACATACGCCTAAGTCCAAAATTACCATACGGAGCTATTAGAACTATTAAAACTCCAATTCGGAGTCATACACATAAAAGTTAAACCTGATCAACTCTTTCAACTTAATCCTTCGACCATGGAACTAAGTGTCCCAATTCACTTCGAATCATCCCCGAAACCAAACCAACCACCCCGACAAGTCACATAACCACAAATGAGCATAGAAGAGGCAAGAAATAGGGGAACGAGGCTATAATACATAAAATGACTGGCTGGGTCATTACATTCTCCCTCTTTTAGACAAACGTTCATCCTCGAATGGGTATAGAATCATACCTAGAGTCTTAAATAGGTGTGGATAACTGCTCTGCATCTCTTGCTCGGTATCCCATGTAGCATCCTCGACCAGCTAACCTCTCCATTGCACCTTCACTGATATTATGTTCTTTGACCTCAACTTCTCAACCTGTCGGTCCAAAATAGCCACCTGCTCCACATCATAAGTCAAATCCCCATCTAACTGAACCGTGATGAAATCCAAAACATGTGACGATAACCATAATACTTCTGGAACATAGAAATATGAAACACTAGGTGAACACCAGATAGACTAGGTGGCAAGGCAAGTCTGTAGGCCACATTTCCAATCCTTTCAAGAACCTCAAAAGGTCCAATATACCGAGGGATCAACTTGCCCTTCTTCCGGAACCTCATTACACCCTTCATGGATGAAACTCTAAGCTAAACCTTCTCACCCACCATGTATGCAACATCACTAACCTTTCTATAAGTATAACTCTTCTGTATGGACTGCACTGTAGGGAGCCGCTCTTGGATCAACTTTACCTTCTCTAAGGCATCACGGACTAAATCAGTTCCCAATAACTTAGCCTTCGCAAGCTCAAACCAACCAACCGAAGAACGACATCTCCTCCCATATAAGGCCTTATAAGGATCCATCTGAATACTCAACTGGAAGTTGTTATTGTAGGCGAACTCTGCTAATGGAAGAAACTAATCCCATGAAGTCCGAAATCCATAACACATGCAAGTAACATATCTTCCAAGATTTGAATGGTGCGCTCGGATTTTCCGGTCGTCTGAGGATAGAATGTTGTATTCAACTCAACCTGTGTGCCCAACTCTCGCTACACTGCTCTCCAAAACTAAAATATGAATTGCATGCCTCGATCAGAAATTATGGAAATGGTCACGCCATGCAAGCGGATAATCTCTCGGATATTTATCTGAGCTAACCGTTCTGCAAAATAGGAAGTCACCACCGAAATAAAGTGTGCAGACTTAGTCAACCGGTCCACAATAACCCATATTGCGTCAAATTTCTTCAAGCTCCGTGGCAAGCCTACCACAAAATACATAGTGATGCGCTCCTACTTCCACTCCAGTATATCCAATCTCTGAACCAACCCTCCTAGTTTCTAATGCTCATACCTCACATGTTGACAATTCAAACATCGAGAGACATAAGCAACGATATCCTTCTTCATTCTCCGCCACCAATAGTGTTGTTTCAAGTCACGATACATCTTCGTAACACTTGGGTGAATGGAATAGCAAGAACTGTGAGCCTTCTCAAGTATCAAATCTCTCAACCCATCAATATTTGGAACACAAAACCAGCTTTTAAGCCGCATTACACCATCATCACCAATCACAACCTCCTTGGCACCACCCTACTGCACCGTATCCATCAACACTAACAAGTGAGGATCATCAAACTGGCAGGCCTTGATACACTCCAACAACGATGACTATGCCACAATACAAGCAAGAACATGACTGGGCTATGAAACATCCAATTTTACAAATTGATTGGCCAAGACCTAAACATCTATGGCTAGTGGCCTCTCTACTACCAGTAAATATGCCAAACTTCCCACACTCTCCACCTTCCTACTCAATGCATCGGCCACCACATTGGCCTTCCCCGGATGATATAATATGGTGATATCATAGTCTTTCAGCAACTCTAACCATCTTCGCTATTGCAAATTAAGATACTTGTGCTTCAACAGGTGCTGGAGACTCTGATGTTCAGTATAGACCTTACAATGAACACCGTATAGATAGTGCCTCTAAATCTTCAATACGTGAACAATAGCTACTAAATCTAAGTCATGCATAGAGTAATTCTTCTCATGAGCCTTCAACTAATGAGACGCATAGGCAATCACCCTACTGTCCTACATCAATATTGTGCCAAGCACAATACATGATGTATGACAATACACGATGTAAGATCCTGAACATGTAGGAAACACCAACACTGGGGTTGTAGTCAATGCAGTCTTGAGCTTCTGAAAGCTCACCTCACACTCTTCGGACCATCTGAATCGAGCACCCTTCTAGGTAAATCTAGTCAAAGGTACAGCAATGGACGAGAAGCCCTACACAAAACAACGATAATAACCCGCCAAATCAAGAAATCCCTGAATCAACGTAGCTGATGAAGCCCTTATCAAGCAACTCCTGAAGCTGTTCCTTTATCTCTTTCAATTCTGTTGGTGCCATGCGATATGGTGAAATAGATATAGGCTGAGTGCTCGCCTCCAGATCAATACCAAAATCAATGTCTGTGTCATGTGGCATGCCCGGCAGGTCAGTAGAAAAAACATCCGGGAAGTCTCTCACTACTAGAGTTGACTCAACTGTTGAAGCATCAGCACTAACATCCCTCATGAAGGCCAAATATGTCAAACATCCCTTACCAACCATCCGTTGAGTCTTCAAATATGAAATCACTCTATCGGGAACATAGCCCAGGGAACCTCTCAACTCAACCTTAGGCAACCCCGACATCGCAAACATCACGGTCTTAGCATGATAGTCCAGTATAGCGTGACATGGTGAAAACCAATCCATGCCTAAAATCATGTAAAAATCAACCATGCTAAGCAGTAAAATATCAACTCTCGTACCTAATCCCCCAATAGTCACTACACATGACCAATACACACGGTCTACAACAATATAATCACCCATCGATGTAGATACATGAGCATGCATAACTAAAGAATCACGGGGCATATCCAAAAAATAAGCAAAGTACGATGACACATATGAATAAGGGAAACCAGGATCAAATAATATCGAAGCATCCCTGTGGCATACTGAAACAATACCTTTGATCACGGCATCGGAAGCAATTGCCTCTGGCCTGACTGGAAATGTGTAGCAACGGGCCTGACCACCACCTGATCGACCTCCCCTTCTTGGGAGACCTCAAGCATGCTGAGCCCCACCCCGAGCTGGATGTGCGGGTGGAGTAGCTGTTGGTGCTAAATCATAGGTTGAGAGCTCTGCTATGGAACCCTACTCAATAGTCTAGGGAAATTGACGAGCGCAAAACACGCACTTAAATATGCTCGCTAATCAAATATAGTATAATATAATATCGTATCCACAGGGATTGGAGTTAAACAGTATTTTCATAGTTTATAGCTTGGTTTCTATCCAAGAGGATCAACAGTTGAGAATTATGTGATTAAAAACTAAAATTAACTAAGAATCTAGAGCTAATTGACTATGACAATCGCAACAAAAATAAGCAAGGAAGATATCAATGGGAGAAAATAAGAGTTGATTGGATATATGCAAGATAATTGTCTGGGATTTAACTCTAGTTAATTCACTTCTAATGTTCAAATAAGTCTCTCGAATTCACTCAATTATTAGTTTAAACGTTTAGTAGAAACACCTCTCTTGATTAAGTCTCAACCTCACAATGTGAACCAATTTAAGCTCGGTGAAGATATGCAAGAGTTTGTAGTGGATTGGGTTTTAGGAGAACCTCTCTCGATTATCCTCCTAACTAGGTCTAAACAATAATTTAACTAGCCTCTTTCAATTACTAAGAAGAATTAATGAATTAAACCAACAAGATAATGCAAAGATATCACAAGTATACCTCTTGCGATTACATGAATATGTGAATATAGATGAAACAATTAAAACACCCAAAATGCTTCAATGCATAAAAACTAGAATTAATATCCATAAACAAATATCAATACACCAAATGCATCAATCCCTAAAGAGAACTACTCTATAGATATGGAGTAATTTATCACAAATATAAAGAAAGCATAAAACGATCCAAACTCTTGTCTTGAGTGAGGATTGAATTACGAATCCCTTGTGCTTTCGCTTCTCCGCCTTCTCTCTAGCCTCCTTAGGTCTTAGATGTGTCAAAAGTCCTAAAAATAATGGTTTTACATGTATTTATACCAAGTAGGGTCGGGCCCAAACGAAACCACATTTTCCTACGCGAATTAGGACAATTACTCTATAAACCTTGTACAAGCGTGCCGCATGGGGCGATGCGCCAGGCGGGGCCGCAGTGGAAAACTTCAGAGAGCTCAACAATTCACAAGCAGCAGTATTTGTACTAGCGCGTCGCACAGTGCATCACATAGTGCGTCGCATTAGTGCAAATTTCTCCGGGTACAGATTTTGCTTCAATTTTGACATCCAAACTTGGTCCTCGACCCCCGAACACGATTCCGGCTTAATCCCTTGGGCTTTTACTTAGACTTCAAAGCTCCAAATAGCTCAAATTCATACTGTAATATCTACATAACTCGAAAACCGACTACAAGTCATAAAATACATAATTAGTGCGGAACACTAGCAATTAAAGCTCAAACTCAATTAAAGTGCAGTAAATTAGAGTGCAATAAATGACTAAAATACGAGATTATAGCCTACCATCAGAAATCTCTCTTGAGATGTCTCAAGTCCCCGCACTCAAAACAACCTCTCCTCTGAGGGAGCTGCTGACCCTGACAATCTGAATAGCTGCCCAAGGAACCCTGTGCAGATGAGGCATGGTAAGAACTCTGTGCCGGTAACGCACTGAATGATGATTGAGTTGGGCGTGTACTGTAGGAACTGTGGCTAACTGAAGAACCATGAGGAACATGGAGAGCTGCCTGAACGGGTCTATAATGACGACCTTTGTTGTAATGGGATTGGCATCCAGATGAGGCATACTAAAACCACCTGAACTATGAGGCCTCTTGACCTCCCACTCCTCACGCTCCTGCCTGCGAACTAGTTCTAAGCGTTTAGCAATCTTGACCACCTGGTCAAACCTAACATCAGTCGCAACCTCTCAAGCCATACTAAAATGTAAACCATAGTTGAGGCCATCAATGAACCTCCTAATCTTCTCCCTCTCAATGGAAACCAACCATACGGCATGACGATCCAAATCTGCGAACCTCATCACATATTAAGTCACTATCATACCTGTCACGCCTCAACCTCGGGGAGCGCGATCGGCGTTCAACAGATTTAGCCTAGTCGAGAAAGCCTATGTAGTGTCGTCTACCCCACCCGCCCATGAATATGAGAAGAATACATTTCATTAATTAGACAGTAAGAGGTCATGTGGATAACACCAGTTCATTTCCATTAGTTACGTCATTAACAAGTCTCCAAAACAGTACATTGTATTATCATAGTTAAAGTGGAACAGATGATACGATTACAACATTTTTAGTTTTAATCTTCCCAAAAACAGATACAACCCACACTATATCTACGGAGCCTCTAACATGAATAAAAGAGTGCTATGATAGTGCCGGCAACAATGCCCTGGTTATACCTCAAAATGATATGTACAAAGGATAAGAGATAAAGACCCCAAAATGAAGTGGGGATTACCAAGTCAGCTAAGGAGAGGGTGTGATGATATCATTGATCAATACCACCTGCTATGGAACCACTTGCATCCATTAAAGATGCAGCGCCCCCGGCAAAAGGGATATTAGTACATATGGAATAGTACTAGTATGTAAAACTAAACACCCTCTCAATCGAATGAGAAACAGTAAACGGAGAATAAAACATGAAATCAATAAAAGACTCAAACAGTATCAAGGTTTCAAGTTAGGGGAAAGGTAAATTTCAAGTAAGTTTCATTAATTTAAGTTGGGAGATCTTTAGCACCGATACACCACCGTGTTTTAGTACGGAGTCCGATCTCAGCCTGACCGGCTAAGCCGTCTCACCCCGAGACATACACTCACAATACCACCATGTGCGCGACATAGCATCCGATCTCAGCCCAATCGTCTAAGCCGTCTCACCCCAATGTCGTGTGGGTCAACATCATATCACTTCTCGCTAGCAATAATATCATCCCATTTAAGGGGAAACATCTCAACACACCAATCTCATCCCATATAAGGGGAAACAAACTCATCGCATTAGCACGGGGATTTACCACCCAATCACTCCTACACCGGCACGTGTAGTTTCGGGGTTAGGTTGTTCCAACCTACCCTTCCTCGGTGGCTAAACGATACTCCCAATAGATTTATTATAAAAAGGATTTACCACTCATTTCATAATATTTTTCATATCATTCATTTCATTGGCACTAATGGCCATGACGCAATATCATTCTTTGCACGGTGGCCGCACACCATATTTCATGTTCTTTTCTTTCACTTTCAAATATCATCATGGATAATCAACAACAAGGCCTTTCAAATTAAGACTTTAAACACATATTTGAGCAATTTAGGGTCTTAGGCACATGTGATTTCTTACACAATTGACATGATAGCTTTCATTAGAATCACGTTTTTAAATCATAATATAATAACATACAGCCAATACTTAAACCACAATCTCAACAGTGACTCAATATAACAAGAATCTTTGGAATGCATATTGAACACATATTTATTTTGACACAAGGCTTATTTGGAATAATCAATATATAATGAGCATCACACGACTTACAAGGATATTGTGGGGTTCAATTCTAAGAGAAGAGTTTGGCCAACATACCTCGCTTTGAGCTTTTCTTAATTCACTACACAGTTCCGGAATCCTAGCAACATTGATCTATTTAGAGATATAGCAAAATTGAACACAAATTAGGAAGGAGTTTGTAGTTCCAGCTCACTTGAGCATTTTATCAAAAAACTAGGTGTGCATTAAGGTTTTAAGGACCTCCTATGGTGGATTCATTCATCCCACTACCCAAAGTTTACCCAAATGACCTCAACAATCTTCCCACTACCCTTGATGATATATGCATGTAAAATAAACAACTTCCACACCCAAGAATTGCTTTGCTTATTACCTATTTTCAGTAAAATCACGAAATTGAGGGCTGGGGAGTAGAACCTTACCTCTAGGATGAAGACCTAGTGAATTTTCTTGTGAATTCTTCAACTTGGAGCAAGAGTTAATGATCAATAAGCTTAGGAACTTCCCCTCTCACTCTATGGTAAGCTCTCTCTCTAAAAATATCAGATTTTTGCTTCAAAAGTGACCCTTTGCCTCAATATATTGAAATAGGGTCGGGTCAAAAATGAGAAAAAATGAAGCCCCAATGCAGATATATGGTCACTTATAAGACCGCATAATGCTTTTGCGGTCCGCATAATGGCCCTCTGGAACTGGGAACCCCTACCTCACTCTACGATCGGTCCGTGGTCCGCAGACCTATTCTCCGATCGCATAATGCGCCGTAGAACTTTCCTCTGGAATTCTTTTGTGCTGGATCGGCGAGGGGTTATGTGACCCGCAAAATGATTATGCGGCCGCATAATGGTCCAAAACTTTTGCCCAAATTTTTGCCTCGTCTGCAGCAAATAAGCGGTCCGCATATCAGTTCTGCGACCGCAGAATTGACCGCTGAAATGCCCTGTATTTTAAAAACTTTTCTTAAACTCCCCAATGCACTGTTAGACCCAAAATATCCGAGTCGTGGCTCGCAAGTGTCATGCCCCGAACCATGGCCTAGGCATAACATGGCACTAGATGCCTGACTGCATATGACCGAGCGAACCAACTGTATGGGTGGATCAACATGTGGTATAACTGTAGGCTAGATATAAATATATAACATGATGATCTACTAAAGAGTTTGACTGAAATATCATAGATGCAGAAAATACTGAAAAGTCTGCAAGTGTAAATGAGTAGCTAACAAGGCTAACACATAAAAGGCTGCTAACATCTGACTGACTGAACTATAGTCTACGAAGCCTTTAAGAATACCGAAATTCTAACTATTTACCGGGACAAGCTCCCCGGCATACCTTACTAACTGAAAATACTATAAACACTAAAGACTAAAAAAAAGGGATAATGCCCCGAAAGACTGGGGCTCACCAGTAGTTGATACGAGAATTCCTAGCAAGCAGAGTCGTCAACCTGTAAATCGTTACTTGCATCGTGAGATGCAGGCCCCGAGAAAAAAGGGACATCAGTACATTTGAATTGTACTGGAATGTAAATCAACTGAAAGAAGGAACTGTAAATACCGAAACTGAAACTAAACTAATAATTGATAACTGAGAACTGAACAAGGAAGTAAGGATATGAATACTCCCTCTTCTGAATGATGAACAACCTGTTTATCTGATAAACTATGGCCTCAGGCCCAATATATATGTGCATAAGCTACGGCCTCGGGCCCAAGTATACGTATACATAACTATGGCCTCAGGCCCAAATATGCATAAAGCATGAACTACGGCCTCAGGCCCAAATATGCATAAAGCATGAACTACGGCCTCAGGCCCAAATACAGGTGTTCAACATTCAGGATTTAAAATAAGGAACTAAGAATCACACTGCAATATATAATACTGAAATGTTGAACCCCACTAGGTTACATGATACTGAAATGCTGAATAAGACTCGATTGGAATATGTATTCATAATAAAATGATCTGTCATACCTGAGACTCATAGGATATTGAATGAAGTATGAAACCATGTCATCTAGAGAATAGAAGTTATACAACTATTCATGGAACTGAGGCATAATTATTTTCTGAGGAAATTCATAATAGTCGTAAGAATGCGACGTAGGGAGAATCATAAACATTCTCAAACATAGAGATTTAGCCTCACATACCTTAGATCTGACCCCTTTTTTAAGAGTATCACGATGTTCGTTGCCTCGCTCAACGATAATCTACGCCAATATATATATATCAAGAGAAACCAATATTATTACTAATTCTCCTGTTTAGTAACTTAGGAATTTTATCAAACACCTTATGGGTGTATAGCCTCATAACCCTTAGTAATTGGTCTTTTCTTCACCACGTTCTCATTCTACTACTTCTAGGTGATTCTACAATCCCAAATAGATGTAACTAACACCATTTCTCATCACCCAAATGTTTACAACAATCATAATTCAACAATCCAAAACCCTAGCATAGTTCTTATGGTTCTCTTTATCAAACCTATTTACTATTCTCCCAACAAAACTCATCAATTCATAGTTATAAATGATTAGGGAGTAGAAGCACTACCTTTTCAAAGTTCACTCCTCTTGAATTCGAGTTCTAGGGTTTCCTTTCTCAATAATTGTGTCTCGGTCGAATATCTAATGAGTAGAAGGATTTACCCATGTTAATAAGGTGTTGGAGAATTGAAATTAACTTATAATCATCGTTAGAACTTACCTTGGATGATGGAGGGACCTTGGGGAAGTTAGGTTCTTGAGAGCTTCCCTTTCTAGAGTAGGTTTTCGTGTTTGGGGTATGGGGGAACGAGGTAAGGGTTTTAAATAAGTGAACACGTCCCAAAATTGAGGAGGAAAATAAAAATAGCTCAGGTAAACCTCGCCGACATGAGGCATCGTCAGGGGTGCCACAATAACTGTGCAAGGCGCCATCAGAGGCGCCAAAGTTATAGTGCCTTGCAATGTCTGGGGCACTGAGGATGATGCCCTGGACAGTGCCTTACACTATCTGTGGCACTGAGTTTTTATGGCCTTGCACTGTTTGTGGTACTGAGTTTTCATGGCTTTGCATTGTCTATGGCCGTGAGTTTTCATAGCCTTACACTGACTAAGGCTATAAGACGTACCTCCCATAAACTTAATCGATTCTATCGAATTTTATGCACCTCACTATCGGTCTTGATTCCAAAACAATGGTTTCCACCCATACTCATCCCGATATGACTTCACATTTATACTCATTTAATGCATCCACAACTAATTCAGATTTACGGAGTATTACATTATCTCCCCCTTGGGATCATTCGTCCTCGAATGATTGTCCTGACTGTAACTATTACTAACTCAGGACCTTAAACGGGTTTGATGGAGATATGCGAATACTGAACTGAGTGACTACTGAATTGATTGAATACTAAGCTGACTAAATACTGAAAGACATGGAGATTATAATATAAGGTCTAAATGGAAAGGGTTAATTACCTTCTACATTTTTTGTTTGTTCTTCAAATAGATGGAGATATCTGGACTTCATGTCCTCTTCGGCTTCCCATGTAGCCTCTTCAAACTTTTGATTCCTCTAAAGCACTTTCGCTGAAGCAATTTCCTTAGTTCTGAGCTTGCGTATTTGGCTATCAAGAATAGCCACTGGAATTTCTTCATAAGTCAGGCTATCTTTAACCCCTATAATCTCCGTAGGAACCACAAGAGAAGGGTCTCCCATGAATTTCTTCAACATAGACAAATGAAACACTGGGTGTACAGCAACTAATTCTTGTGAAAATTCTAACTCATAAGCCACCTGCCCGATCCTTCGCAGGATTCTATATGGCCCAATATAGAGGGGACTGAGCTTACCCTTCTTCCTAAATCTCATAACGCCTTTCATAAGTGAAACTTTCATAAGCACCCAAACATCAACTTGGAACTCTAACTCTCTATGTCTTACGTCCGAATAGGACTTTTGGCAACTCTGAGCCATCGTCAAATGCTCTTGTATCATGTTGACTTTGTCCATAGCCTGATAGACCAAATCGGGTCCTAACAACTCCGCTTCGCGAACTTTGAACCAACCAATTGGTGATCTACACCTTCGCCCATACAAAGCTTCATACGGTGCCATCTTAATATTAAAGTGGTAGCTGTTATTATAAGAAAACTCAATGAGGGGTAGATGATCATCCCAATTACCTTTAAAATCGATAACACACACCCTCAACATATCCTCAAGAGTCTGAATGGTGCGCTCTACGTGGCCATCTGTCTAAGGATGAAAAGTTGTGCTGAGGTTCACCCTTGTGCCCAATCCTTTCTAAAAAGATTTCCAAAAGTTTGTTGTGAACTGAGCACCATGATCTAAGATGATCGATAAGGGGGTCCCATGCAATCGGACAATTTCCTGGATATACAACTTGGCATAATCCTCTGTTGAATCCGTAGTCTTCACTGGCAAGAAGTGAGCTGACTTGGTAAATCGGTCTACAATCACCCAAATCGGATCATGCTTCTGAAACGAGCAAGGTAAGCCTGTTATGAAGTCCATGTTTATCATCTCCCATTTCCAAATGGGAATTTCTATACTCTGAGCCAAACCACCAGGCTTCTGGTGTTCGGCTTTCACTTGTTAACAATTTGGACACTTACTCACAAGATCTGCTACGTTCTATTTCATTCCATTCCACCAATAGATCTCCTTAAGATCATGATACATCTTTGTGGAACCTGGGTGAATAGAATACCTGGAATTGTGGGCTTCTGACATAATCCGCTCTCTGAGCCCATCTATGTTTGGAATGCATAGTTTGCCTCTGTATCTCAAAGTACCATCATCTCCCCCTTGTTCAAAAGTCGTAGTCTTGTGTTTGTGAATCCCCTCCTTCAACTGCAATAAGTAGGGATCATTGAACTGTTTTCCTTTACTTCAACTACTAAGGGGGATTCAGCCATGTTCTGAAGAACAACGCCACCATCTTCGGAGTCCAAAAGTCAAACTACTAGACTTGCTAATTGGTGGACTTCCTTCGTCATAGTTCTCTTTTCTGCTTCAACATGAGCTAAGCTTCCCATAGAACGTCGATTGAGAGCATCAGCTACAATATTTGCTTTCCCGGTATGATAGAAGATATCAACATCATAATCCTTGAGCAATTCGAGCCACCTTCTCTGACGAAGATTTAATTCTCTTTGCTTGAAGATGTACTTCATACTCATGTGATCTGTGAAAATATCAGCATGCACTCCAGATAAATAATGGTTCCAGATCTTTAGTGCAAATACCACAGCTGCTAACTCAAGATCATGAGTGGGATAATTTTTATCGTGAGCCTTGAGATGTCTCGATGCGTAGGCTATGACTTTACCATGCTTCATTAACACACACCCAAGACCAACCCCTAAAGCATCACAATAAACAACGAACCCTTCGGTTCCTTCCGGTAGTGTCAAGACTGGAGCTGAAGTCAACCTCTTCTTTAACTCATCAAAACTTTTCTCGCAAGCATCCGACCACTGAAACTTGACCTTCTTCTAAGTCAATCTAGTCAAAGGGGACAAGATAGAGGAAAATCCCTCTACGAAATGCCTGTAATAGCCTGGTAAACCCAAGAAACTTCTTATATCAGACACTGAGGTGGGTCTAGGCCAATTCTTCACTGCCTCTATTTTCTGAATGTCCACCTTCACTCCTTCGCCTGAGATGACATGGCCCAAAAATGTTACTGATTTCAACCAAAATTCACACTTAGAAAATTTTGCATATAGCTTGTGATCCTGTAGTGTCTACAACACAATTCTGAGATGTTCTGCATGGTCTGCCTTGCTACGGGAATAAATCAAGATGTCATCAATAAACACAATAACGAACAAATCAAGATAAGGCTTAAAGACCCTATTCATAAGGTCCATGAAAGCCGCTGGTGCATTCGTTAAACCAAACGACATTACCAAAAACTCAAAATGTATGTAACGAGTCCTGAAAGTTATTTTAGGAACATCACCTTCCTTAGCCTTCAACTGATGGTACCCCGATCTAAGGTCAATATTGGAATAACATTGGGCACCCTGAAGTTGATCGAATAAATCATCTATTCTAGGAAGAGGGTACTTGTTCTTAATGATGACTTTATTCAACTGACGATAGTCAATGCACATGCGCAAAGACCTATCATTCTTCCAGACAAACAAGACCGGAGGGCCCCAAGGTGAGACACTTGGCCTTATAAATCCCTTATCTAGAAGATCTTTCAATTGGACTTTTAGCTCTTTCAACTCTGCTAGAGCCATCCTATAAGGTGGAATAGATATCAGCTTAGTGCAGGGGAGTAGATCAATTCCAAAGTCAATCTCTCTATCGGGAGGGACTCCGGGAAGGTCTTCGAGAAACGCTTTTGGGAACTCATTCACAATTGGTACTGACTGGAGAGTGGGAATCTGAGCATCTGCATCCCTAACTCGAACCAGGTGATAGATATACCCTTTGGAAATCATCTTTATGGCTTTAAGGTAGGAAATAAACCTATCCCTAGGTGCTACTCCATCACCCTTCCATTATAAGACTGGTTCACCGGGAAATTCAAAACTTACTATTTTGGTTCTATGACCCACTGTGGCGTAACAGGACTCTAACCAATCCATGCTCATGATTACGTCGAAGTCTACTATCTCCAATTCTACTAAGTCTTCTATAGTAAAGCGGTGATACACTTTGACTGGACAACCCCTATAGATACGTCTAGCTATAACTGATTCTCCAACTTGAATGGACACTTCAAAGGGTTCACACAACTTTTCTGGTTCTATCCCAAATTTCTTAGCAATATATGGGGTTACATAAGATAGGGTGGATCCCGGATCCATAAGAGCATAAACATCAAAAGTGAAGACTGTTAGCATACCTATGACAACAACTCCACGAGCCTCTGTATCCTGACGTCCTGCCAGCGCATACAATCGGTTTTGACCACTGCCTGCATTACCAGACTTTGTTGCACCACGCGCTTGTTGGGCCTGAGAGCTCTGAGGGGCTGCTGAGTTAGTGGACTGAGCTACATTGCCTCCATTATTCTGCCCTTCTTATGGACAATCCCTCAAGAAGTGGCCCTGTTGACGGCACCCCAAGCAACTATTTGTGCCCAAACGACACACCCCTGGATGCTTCTTACCACACGTGTTGCAAGTAGGGTACTCAAGGCCTCTGTAGCCCACACTAGTCTGTGACTGTGAGCCTGCTGCTCTGAAATTCTGGTTTTTCTTGTTAAACTTAGACATCTGAACTGGTGCTCTAGCTGAAGATGGAGCAGGTCCTAATTTTGGTTTCCTAAAGAACTGACGATTACCACCTCCATGAGATCCCTCATGGCTGAAATTTCCTGTAGACTTAGCTCTCTTGCTGAATTCTCTATCCCTCTCTCTCTCTCTCTGTCGTCGCACTTCTTCCTTCAACCTGTCTTTGTTACCTTAAACAAAGGCTACCATTTTAGTAATGGTCATGTCATTATTCTGAGCAACTATATTAGCATCAGCAAACAAGTCATCTGAAAGCCCCAACACAAACCGCCTAACTCTGGCCCTCATATCACGTACCATTTCCGGAGCATACTTAGCCAGAGAGACGAACTTGAGGTAGTACTCATTCACACTCATATCATTCTATTTGAGTCTCTCAAACTCTAAAGGCTTAGCTTCCAAGACCTCAATGGGTAGAACATGCTCAAGAAACGCATATGCAAACTCCTTCCAAGTTGCAGGAATTGCATCCTCCCCTCGGGACTCTTCCCATGTTTCATACCAAGTGTTAGCAACATCCTTCAGCTGGTATGCACCAAGCTCTATAGCCTCAGTGTCTGTAGCATACATCACTCGAAATATCTTCTGAACATCATCAATGAAGTTTTGCAGATCCTCATCCTTTTTGGACTTTGTGAGGGCTGGAGGTAGTATGTTGAGGAATTCCCTGGACCTGGAACTACCCGTCTCATCAACAACACTTGTCCCCTGCCTTTGAGCCTGAGTAGCAACAATTTGGGTAAGCAACTAGATATCTCCCCTGACATCCATGTCTCAAACATTAGGCACTGAGCCCGTTGCAACTCCTGGGCCGGAGTGACCTCCTCCTGAGCATCATTAGTCGTATCCCCTGGCTAGTAGCTGAGGCCCTCGTGGTGTACTTTCTTTTTGCAGGCATTTTTTGAAATACGTAATTCGTACGATTTAGAAGGATTACGGAAAGCATAACTCTAACTGCACGATCTAGAGTATGAAAGAAATAAAACAATCCTAAATGTCTTGGTGGTCAAATGTTTACATGCGTGGTGCGCACACACATATAAAAGTGACCCCACTAGACACGGCTTCATAGACTCCCTAGCAAGCAGAGTCCTAGCTAATACGAGATGTCCTAGCAAGCAGAGTCATCAAACTGTATATCGTTACCTACATCGCGAGATGCAGGCCCCGGGCAAAAAGGGACGTCAGTACATTTGAATTGTATGGGTATGTAAAACAACTGAAAGAAGGAACTGTAAATACTGAAATTGAAACTGAACTAATAACTGATAACTAAGAACTGAACAAGGAAGTAAGGATATGAATACTCCCTCTTCTGAATGATGAACAACCTATTTATCTGATAAACTACGGCCTCAGGCTCAATATATATGTGCACAAGCTACGGCCTCGGGCCCAAGTATACGTATACATAACTACGGCCTCAGGACCAAATACAGGTGTTCAACATTCAGGATTTAAAATAAGGAACTAAGAGTCACACTGCCATATATAATACTGAAATATTGAACCCCACTGGGTTACATGATACAGAAATGTTGAATAAGACTCGATTGGATTATGTATTCATAATAAAATGATATGTCATACCTGAGACTCATGGGATATTGAATGAAGTATGAAAACATGTCATTTAGAGAATAGAAGTTCTACAAGTATTCATGGAACAGAGGCATAATTATTTTCTGAGGATATTTG